TTACATTTTTTTCTAAAAGATTAAGTTGGTGTGGTATATTCTTGATTATCAAAATATTCATGTAGTCTGGGGTTTTAAAGCTAAGTGGGACTGTTTGGCTCATACTGTCCAGTCTCAGTTCTCTAAATGGAGCACTGTGTGCACACTTGTAGAACCCGGAATGGCTGCCCTTCCTTTCTCTCAGCCTATGTTTTGGGTCCTAAATTTCCTTTGTTTTATTGTTTATATCTTTTTGAGACAGGGTCTCCCTGTAGCCCCAGCTGTCCTGGAACTCACTATGTAGACCAGGCTGGCCTCGAACTCACAAAGATCCGCCTGCCTCTGCCTCCCAAGTGCTGGGATTAAAGGCATGCGCCACCACACCCGGCCTTATGTGTATGCGTGTATTGCCTGCATGTGGGTATGTGCACCATGCTGTGCAATGCCTGCGGAGGTCAGAAGAGGCTGTCCGATCCCCTGAGACTGGAGTTAAGGACAGTTGTTAGCTGTCATGTGGGTGCTGGGATTCAAACCTGGATATTCTGCAAGAACAACCAGTGTTCTTAACCACTGAGCCATCTCTCCAGCCCCATCCATGCTTGTTTTTAAGAGTGTCAAACATATTGATTTTACTTACAGTGCTTAATAGAAAATGAAATTTATAAGATTGTTTAAAAATAAGGAAGTTCTTGTGTAACATTTTTTATGCATGCTCTAAAGGGACCTCTTAAATTCACCAACAAAATGAAAAATGTACATCTGCTATGATTTAGAGTAGGAATTTACCTACATATAATTTTGTACACTTTTGTTGCTTTGTATATTTTATATCTTTATGCAAAGATGCTCACTGAGTGCTTTGTATCCTGTAACAATGCTGACTGCCATAGTGCTTTTTCTAAGCAAAGACACAAACACAGCATAAAGGCCTATGATGAAGTTCAAACGTTATCCTACATCTTTATCAAACTGCCATTAAAAGGAATGAGCAGACCCCCAAGTGCTGACAAATGATTGCCAAGCTGCACTGCTAAGGGTAGAAGAAGCCACATATAGAGGAGTGTTGCGTAGCCTTCCTGTTTGAACCTTCAAGAGGATGTTGGTATAAAGAAGATGGAGTACCTTTGTCCAGACACTCTGAACTGGGACAGCAGTGATGCAAGAAGTTCTCCCTCTGCTGTTCATTACCTGCATAGCTTAATTAAATTAACTGCTTTCTTGAGGACTTCAGAAAATTCACTAACAAAAACTGTTTCTGGAAGCTTACACAGAAGTAGCTGTTCATTAAAGATTTCTATCAGCCTTTTCAGATTGCTGTTTGTAACCCAGGCTGGTCTTGAACCCACTATGTAGCTCAGGCTGGCCTGGAACTTGGTGTCAGTTCTCCTGCAGTACTGAAATTAAGAGTGTGTGCCTGGCTGGAGCTCAGTAGTCAAGAGCATGCATTGCTCTCGCAGAGGAGGGAACTTCGGTTCCTAGCACCCATGTTAGGCAGCTCACAACCACCTCTAAGTCCAGTTCCAGGAGATCTCATCCTTCTGGCCACTGTGGGCACCTGCACTCAAGTGCACAGATATGTAATTAAAAATAAATCTTTTAAAATTAGACTTTTAGCTGGGCATGGTGGCTCACGCCTTTAATTCCAGCACTTGGGAGGCAGAGGCAGGCGGCTCTCTGTGAGTTTGAGGCCAGCCTGGTCTACAGAGCGAGTTCCAGGCAGCTGGAGCTACAGGAAGACCCTGTCTCAAAAAGACCAAAAAAAAAAAAAAAAAAAAAAGACTGAGAGAGCATGTGCCACCATGCCCAGCTATTTATCTACCTTCTCCTTAACGACATTCTCTCTGTGTTCATTTTTGTTAGCACCATGTTTCTGCATTGCAGAATGCTATTCAGGTCACTTCTACCATGCTGTCTGAACACCTCCAAAGCACCACTTCTTGACTAAAGTGTCATGATACATCAGTATGTTGTATTTATTATGACATCCACACAAGTAATTTGTTTCTAATAATAAAGTACAAAATCTGAACTCATCATTATTTATTAAGTCAGAGCACCTGAGTCCTTTGAAGATACCACTCTCACCTACCACACCTGTGTGAATGCAGCTGCCCAGCTTGATTATCAGCATTACCCATTTTGTGTACTCTGATGGGTAAGAGATCACACCTCACTCCTCTACAAAATGTTTTGCAACTCCAATTTTAGATCAATACTCTAATTCTCTTGGGTGTGACTTTTAAACAGAAGCAAAACCCTTGTACTTTATTAAAAATAATTAGAGTACTTTTATTAAATTCTTCATGTTTCAACTCTCTTCCACCAAGAGGACTTTCTTGTCACTCTCCAGTACTTGGGCTCCTTTTACTCCAGTGCTATTGTTCTCTCCTATCAGTCCACACGTGCTCAGGACTGGTGGTACACGACAGTCAGGATCTGAGAAATGAGCTGAGATTCCTCCTGCTGAACCAGCCTGTGGTACACTAATTTTCCCAGCTCTAAAGACAGGCACATGCTGCATGTAGCACGCTGAGCTCAGTAGTGGTAAAACATGATAACAAAGAAATGGCATGCAGTTTCTGGAGACATGCACATATAAACACTCCAAGTTGAGGGGAGAGGTGGAGAAAGAAGGGACAAGAAATGGCTTAGTGATTTGCAAACTGGGATGAAGGATGGTTGATAAGCTTATTTGATACATGAATAGATGTTCCAGTGTAAGAAAAATTAATAAAGATCTCTTACAGTTTTTTTCTCTCTCTTGGCTGGAGGGGGCTGTTGCTGCGTAGGCACTATGATAGGTGTGGACTGATACACTGGCTGACTTGGATAAAAAGGCGTTCCTAAAGAATCAGAACAAAATAAGAAGCATTCAGTTAGTTTGTCAAACACTATAGGGCTGTCAATGGCACTGTGTCCCTGGACAAACTCTTAAACAGTAAAAACAAGCAAATCATTAGCGTCCTCCTCTTCTTTAGAACCCATCCTCCTGCCTCTGCCTCCGTAGAACTGGGATTACAGACTGAGCCACTACATGCCCAGTAGCTTTCTCAACTGTCTCTCCCCAAAACTTTCCTCCTGCTACTAAAATAGTCAAGAGATTATTCCTAAAATACATAATGTCTCCAAATAGAAACCTCAAATATGAAAACAACTAGGTGCCCAATTGCTGTGAGCTGATTCCAGAATTACCCTTCTAAGCACAGCCTGTGTTACAGCGTTGCTTTCAGAAGGCATCTTATTCTGGGGTCTGCGACCTGCAACAGTTTGGTCAGGGGTGGAGGTGAAGAACCAGCACCACAGGGGCTATACCATTGGGCCTTCCCAAATACTTGTAGGCTGAGAAGTTCAATAAGAGACAGAACAGGGAGTGTAAAGCCAAAGTCCAGACATCAGACATGAAGAATACAACTTCCAAACGCCATGGTCCACCAGGCACAAGCTACACTTCTGCTCGCTCTACAACCCATTCCTTCTCCCATTCCTGGAGTGCATCAATCAAGACTGATTTTGTTCATGTTTTCATTCCACTGCCTATCTGCCCAAAGCGCTGCTCCCCACAGCACCAATGCTCTGAAGGGCTCTTTCACACTCAGAATGTAGACTAATGCTATCCAGCCAGGCCACTCAGAAGAGAAAAGCTAAGGAAAAAGAAGACAGATCGTGCCTACTTTGAAAGTAAAACTGAAAGATTTGCCGAAGAACTGGATGCTACTGTGAGATAAAGATTTACAGAAGAACTGTTGGGGGAGGGGGGTATATTTTTGTTTTTGTTCTTAATGAGTGAGGGAAAGAACAGAGTCACTAGCAAAATGAGAATGTCACAGAAAAAAAAAAAATCAAGATTTCAACTTTGGACACATTTGAGACGATGCACTTAATGGCTCGTCATTCTTGTCCCAGGACAGGTGTGACTGGAGTTCCCTATTTACTTGTTTACTTTGAGACAGGGTAGGGTGAAATGAAGGTTGGCCTAGATCTTGCTATGTGGGGAAGAATGACCCTGAGCTTTTGCTTCTGCTCCTCAGTGCTGGGATCACAGGCTGCGGGTAGAATCCAAGTCTTTGTGCATGTTAGGCAGGAACTTCATCAACTGACCTGCAGCCTCAGCCTCTAGAGTTAGGCACTTTGCAATGACTAGCGTATGGACAACAGCAAAACCACAGGACAGCATAACTCAGAAAATGGGGACACACAGGAAAGAAAGCCCAAGGAGACATCCCCGTCAGAGGTCACAGAAGGAAGGAAAACCCATCAGAGGTGAGGAGAAAGAAAATAAAGGCAATAGCTGAAGACAATGTTTCAAAACTGGGGCCAGGCATGGGGGTGCAGGGCTGTAACCATGCACTGAGAAGGCTGGGGCAGAGGGCTCATGAGTTCAAGGGCAGCCTGGGCTACACAGTAAGATCTTGTCTCACATATAAATAGACAAATAAAAATATGGGAGCGCTTAGCTTTGTCAAAGTAGAAATCATTGTGATCTTGGCCAAAGCTGCTCAGTGGCAGGGGAAGAAGAGACTGATATGGGGGTGAAAGAAAAGAGAAACATGAACCATCCCAGGAGCACTTGGGAGGCACGGAAAGGATTCCATAAGTCTTTAAAAAAAATTAAAAAGCATAAAACGTAAAGCACAGATAATAAAAACAACAAAATAAAGGAGAGATAATAATGGAAGACATGAAGTGGGTAGTGGGGAGAGGGTGGAGAGGCTCAGGATGTCATCAAAATACCTCCTACGAAATTTTGGAAGGAAAACATCTTAAAAACACAGTGAAGGAGAAGAAAGAAAATGAAGACTGTGAGGTTTGATAACTCTTTCCTCCTAAAGTCTGAGGGCAGAGATTTGAAATGGAGAAGTGGAGCGGTAACTGGACATGCAATGGGAGCCCCACCCCGTATTATTTTAAGTACTAAAATGAAACAGCATGCTCATATACCAATGCAGCAAGGGGAAGTTGGAAAAACATGCCAATGTGGAGAAAGAGAACTATAGAGTGTTCGCCTCAACGGTGCAGGATGGGGTCTAATGGAACCCATGAAGGACTGCTAGTTAACCAGAGGGAGCGGACCCAGGTGACATCCTTGAAGCTAAGTGAACCAAATGTTAGCTCTGTTACCACGATCATTGCCAACATCCCTACTGCCAACATAATAATTTCCAAGTGGAAACTTCCCGGAAGCAGAAAGAGGTGCAGTGCCATCACTGCAGGTATCTATGACTTTATTTATTTATTTATTTGGTTTTATTGAGACAGGGTCTCCCTGTATCTCCAGCTGACCCAAAACACCCTACGTAGACCAGGCTGGCCTCAAACTCACAGAGATCTGCCTGCCTCTGCCTCCTGAGTGTAAAGTCATGAGCCACTATTCCCAGCAGGTATCTATGGCTTTTAGAGAATTAGATTGGGAACAGATCTAAGCAGAGGGCATGACTAGGATTTCACGATGTTCAATGTGGGGGAAAAACCCTTATGATTGGCAAGTGAGGACATTAGCTAAGCACAGTTCTAAGCTGCCCTGTTACAGCATTAGCTCCAAACCCAGAAGATAAGCCCCTAAAATTGGTTTCAAATGCTGCTGGACAAGCAACATGGTCTGCTCACTTTGCCAGATTTTTCAAGCTAAGTGAAATAAGATCCAAAAGGTAAACTATCTCCTTAAAAAAAAAAAAAAAATCAGAGTCCTCACAAGAAACACTTTTAAGTCAACGTAACTGGTGAAAAGGGTGCTATTGCACATGTCCAACGAACAGCTGCTGAAGAAACTTTGCACAAATAGCCCATCAGGACAGTGGGGCAAAGCACAATTAGGAGAGCAGTGGGCCCCAGCTCAGAGGAAAGTGACCACACCAAGAATGGCTTTCTTTTATAAACTAATCCAAACTTTGATGTAGTTGAGGATATCTAAGAAATCTGTGGTATTAAAAATGAGAACAAGGGGCTAAAGAGATGGCTCAGCAGGTAACAGCACTGACTGCTTTTGCAGAGGACCCAGGTTCGATCCCCAGCATCCACATGGTGGCTGATAACTGTCCCTAACGCCAGTTCCAGGGGATCCAACACACTCTTCTGACCGCCAAGAGCATTGCACAACACGGTGCACTTAAGACATATGCAGGCAATACACTCACAAACATAAAATAAAAATAATAAAAAATTTTTAAAAATAAAATGATTTTAAAAATGAGAAGAAGTCAGGCATGGTGGCACACGCCTTCAATCCCACCACTCCAGAGGCAGAGGCAGGGGAATGTCTGTGAGATCAAGGTCAGCCTGGTCTGCACAGTCTCAAATAATGGATGGGGGTGTTGGGGGGATGGAGGGAGGTCTACATAGTTCCAGGCCAGCTAGAGCTACAGGGAGACCCTGTCTCAAAAAAAAAAAAAGCACCAGCTGCTCTTGCAGAGGACCTGGGTTTGATTCCCAGCACCCACATGGCAGCTATGAACCATCCGTAACTCCAGTTCCAGGGGAATCAATCCAAAGCCCTCTTCTGACCTCCGCGGCGTTGCACGACATGGGTGCACTCACATACATACAGGCAATACACTCATACACATAAAATTAAAAAATAATAAAATAAAACTTAAAAAATATACAAAAAAAACCCTGTGGCTAATTTTACATTATTTCAACTCTACTCTTGTTGAAATAGCATTATGATATAATCCTGACCGTGAATAATAGTTTTCTTTAAAGGTATTACTGGTAAAACAAAAACTAAGTCCTGTAGCTTCTGCTTTCTGTTTTTATTCATTTCATTTATGATACTGAAGGATCTGGGAACTACTGGTGAGGTTAGTTTTTAAGATTTGGTCTTAGGTAAAATTCCAAATGTAAATATTTAAAAAGTGTAATATGAGATCCTGATAAACAGAGAAATACTTTAATTGCATTCTACAAAATACTTGGCACAATATCTTACACATTGCTGCTTCTGCTAAAAAAAAAAAAAGGAAAATTTGCCATTTTCCATAGAAACAAAGATTAATATAGTGACTAGATATCCAGTTTGGCACACACACAAAAGGTAATTTTACCTAAAAATATACTCAAAACACCAGTGTGTCACCAATGTCAATATCACCAAATATGGGATTTACTTTTCCCGAGAGCACATCAAATCCACCTTGGGATACTGGTTCCCCAGCTCCAGTTCCCACGGCACGAACAGCTAGCTTCCTGTGCTCCTATGAGCCACCAGAGCCCCATGGAGGTTCAAGAAAAGAATGAAGCATGTGGGGGGGTGGAATTCCCATGGTAGAGCAAGGAGAAATGGGGGGCCACCGGGCTGCAGGAGGGTGGACAAGCGGGGTGGCCACTGTAGGAACTGCTCACTCTTCTTCGTAATCACTATTCTCACTACCTCTCTGCCCGAGAACGTCAATTTTCAGACTTGGGTTATCAGTCCCTATGGCTGGCCCAGGAGTATCCAGCCTCTATTTTCCTCAAAACTGTCAAAGTACTGCATGAATCATACTTTCCCAGAGGCCTAAGAAGGGTAGTCACAAGCCTGGAAACTGAGTAAGACACCAACTCCAAATTCAGGTTTGGAAAGGCGCTGAGATCTAATACCTAGGTCCTCTCCCCTCGAAAGAAGACTTTTGAGCTGGAACATGCACTTTTGATCTACACACGCGATGTGAAGAGGAAAGGCGACAGAGGGAAAGGAAGAACAGAAAGCAGAAAGGTAAGAGTCAGAGAGGCTCCAGGAAGAGGGGCTAGGAAGAAGGCATACACCTTGTAGGTCACTGGCCTACAAGACCAGACAGCTGTCCCAAAATGGGACAGGTGAAGGATCTGTAACTAGCAGGAAAACTGGGTCAGAACCTTAAATTACGATAAAAGCAAATTAACTAGTAACAAATTTTTTTATAGTTAAAAAATATCTGCCAAGGCTGGGTATAGTGACACATGCCTTTAATCCCAGCATTCAGGAGGCAGAGGCAGGTGAATCTATGAGTTTAAGGCCAGCCTGGTCTACACAGTGAGTTCTAGGCCAGCTGGGGCTACAGGGAGACCCTGTCTCATTAAAAAAAAAAATTAATTAATTAAAAAAAAAATCTGCCTAGGGTCTAAGAGATGGCTCAGCAGTTAAGAAAACTGTTTATTCTTGCAGAGGACCTGGTTTCAGTTCCCAGCATGCACAGAGCAGCTAACAAACATCTGTAACTCCAGTTCCAGGGGCTCCAACACCCTCTTCTGGCCTCCAAAGACACTGCATTCACATGATACACCTACATACAGGAGGCAAAACATTCACACACAAAATGAAAATAAACTAAAATAATTTTTTAAATATCTGCCCAAATGATCAAAGGATGAGAAAAAAACCTTATGGTTCATTCCAAAAATAGGGTAGATTGCTTTTAGAGAAATTAATTGAGTTTAAAAAAATGAAGGAGGAGGGGTGGCAAGATGGCTAAAGCACTCAGTAAAGGCACTTGTTTGCCCTGAGGTGGAAGGAGAGGATGAACACCTGCAAGGTGTCCTCTGACCTCCACATACACACTGAAGCACACGTGACTGCACATTTACATGATACCCCTGTTCTCTCCAGTCTCTGTGCATGCTGCCAGAGGCGATAACAAAACAACAAAGGGGCTGCCATACGCTCATGCATTTCAGCAATGCCATTTCACAGTCAAAAGGTCATTTTTGCAACCTGAAAGTAAGCAGCACGTCACAATTCAGTATGAAACCATTAGAAATTATTAGAAGGCATAATTGCATGCCCTCTGTGACATGGAATTTAAAAGAAATAATAATTTTAGCATGTTTAGTCTGAAAAACACTCCATTTAAAAAAAAAAGACTTTTATTAACAGTAATTATAACAATACAATGAAGCTGTTACTATATATATGTATGTATATGTCTCCATACACACGTATATGTGTATATATAGACACACACTTATATTTGAGACCTTGAGATTATAAAATATATCACTTAAAACAACAGTGTCATGAAGCAATACTGACTCCGATAACAGAAAGGTTTTATTTTCTCTGTGAGTCTCACCACCAAGAATACTTTCTTGAGCCATCCTAATACAATTAGATCCTATTGTAAAGACCTCACTGTGCCACTAAATCCCAAGGTTAGATACTTGGTTAATGAATGGATTCCTATTTTAAGCTAACTAAAACTTCAAATGCTTCTGCCTTGAGGGCAGTGTAAGAGATTACTGCTGACTGAAACTTAAAGCTTAATTTTCCTAATAGCCAGTGATTATAGCCCTTATAATTTACTTTCTGTGGAATGAAATAAGTGCAGTATACAATAAAAGTATGTTAGAGAGGTGCTTCACACCATTTCTGAGTTCACTATGAACTCACATGCCAAGAGTAGGCGGGCATTTCATTCTGTGCACTAAGAACACCTTTAAATCCAAGTTCGGTCACATATGCCTCTAATCCAGAACTCAGGGAAGTGGAGGAGTCTGAGTTCAAGGACAGTCTGGGCTACTTAGAAAGACCACGTGTCTCCATTACTTGTCCCCACAAAAAACAACTTTTTAAGTTTTGAAGGCATTGTCATCTGAACTAATCCTGAAAATTTCTCCACAGCATAGGCTGCAATGACAATTTTGTGGGTGAGGAACTGTAGCTTCCCTGAGTTCTGTTCAGTCATTCCCTGCTATTTTCTGAGTCTGTCCGTCACTGCTGTAGGGCCTTTGAATGTAGCAGTAAATGAAACAAAATAAAATCCCTACTTTTATGGGCATTATATTAAGCGGGGAATGCTCAGAGGGGGGAAAGCAATCAAGGATAGGTGATAAATTTATGCCATCAACAAAATGCAATAAAAATGTGCATGATATTAGCCAATACCAGAATCCTAACACACAGACTCTTCAACAAGATGACCAGCCCCATCAGGAGGTGTCACTAACTGAATAAATTACTATAATACTTTCTCTCTAAGCCATTCCCTAAAAAGGCTTTCAGGCAAACAGCATGTAAGATTTTGTTTAAAAATCTTTAAAACTGCTGTGTGTCAATGCCTATGCTGACCAACCAAAGAAGAAAACGAATATGAAAAATTATCAGGAACTATTTGACTTTTTAAACTTACCATAAGCATTGGGGAAGTCCCCGGGTCCTGGTCCAGGATAAAACGGACCTGGCCCTGGTGGTTGAACCGGATACTGTTGTGGGGGCCCAACATAAGGAGGGCCACTGTGCCGGTACTAAAAGAGAGAAAGAACACACATTTGCATATGATATGAAGGTAGGTTGCTATGGAAAATATTCAGTGTGAGCTAGATCACCAAGATGAGGTGAAGGTTTGGCTGCGAAGCACATTCAAAATGCTTCCTGGCCCTCCAGATACAATGCAGATGAGCAAAGGGTATATCCTGAGGGAGCCACACAGCACAGCAGTGTGCAAATAGCCACAAGCTGACAAGGTAACTTCGGGCTGGCAGCTTCCAATGATACTGAATGACATCACAGGAAAACATGATCATGGGGTCCATTTTAGAGAAGCATGTTTTCAGGAAAGAAGGGAGATAAACAATTGCCCCACCAACTTAGGAATGTATAACAAATGTATAAGAATCTCTGTATAACTTTATTAAAGATGACTTACAACCAGAAAAAAAGTTCAGATTACCAAAATTCAGTGCTATCAACTAACCTCCCTGCCCCCCTGCTCCCTCTTGTAAGAACCAAGGATGAGTCCCACTTTACCTGTGGTATACAGTACTGAGGCCCCTGGGGCACTGGGTATGGCATGGGCAGATGGTTAACCATCATAATGTGCTGATTGGCCTGATACACGGCAGTGGGGGTCTGTGCACCAGGACGAATGGAAGGACTGCTGTTCGGGATGGTGGCTCTAGGAGGCTGTATTTGAGGCCTCTGGAAAAACTGGGGTGGGAGAAAAAGAATTTTTCATTTTTCATAAAAGAGTAATATATAAATTTAACTATTTGAGTTTCTTCCTGTTGTTCCCCACTGAGAAAACTGATCAACTTGAACTAGAGATATACTTGAAAAGGAGACAATGCCTAACATCTGCGTTCATAAAATATACCCCACACTAAGATTCTGACCAAGATCTTTACATATTAAAAAACAACAGGGCAGTCCCAATGCTGATCCTCAGCTATTTAAAAGTACAAGCCATGCACCATAACTATGAATTTTAGAATGTATAATAAATATTGTAAGAGATATTTTGTGGGTCTCTAAACGTTTTATAAAACACTGAATCTTGCATAAAGGTGGCTCAAAATCAAACCACTGAAAATTTAAAGTAGCACCCTAAAAAAAACACAAGTCATTTCTAAAATATTTAGAACAAGAAATCGCTCTGATCATTAATGTTCTCACCCGAGTCCATTAAGCCAAATTAAAAGGCTGTCACATATAGAGTTGAGCTTTGCTTTAACTGAGCCCAATATTACTTTCTAAAACCATTTAACTGTAAGTGGAGAATCTAGCTAGACAGGTGTTAAGAATGGCCTAAAACAAGCAGAGCTCAACTCCCTCTTCCTTGTGCACTGTCTTCCCTGCACCTTCTAAGCCTTAAAGCTACATTCCAACAGTGCGTGTCCAGTATGACTCCATTTATTCATCAGCAAGCAATCTCACTGTAATTACAACAAGAAGACAGTAATAAAGAGGCCATGCAGAACTAGTAGTTTGTTACCTGGATGGGTCTGAATCCTCCCTTCAATTATGAAGCAAGAAAGCAGCAGGAAACAGAAAGAAAGCCAATGGAAACACTTACAGATCAGTAGGAAGGGGCAGGACATAGCATGCAGCTCTACAAAACTCTTTCCACTTAATAGTAACAGAAGAAAAGACTAGACAGAGTGATATTCTCCAAGTGAGGACTCAAGCCATGTGGTATCAAAGCTCTGTTATTTTTAATGAAATAAATAAATTCAGTGACAACAACCCTAAGAGCAGTCACAGGTCAGAAGAGCTTAAAAGAAAACATACGCTCAGTGGCCTGAATACAGCACAGATCACTCGTTCTAAATTTAGGCTCTCGAATGCCTGATCCATTGATTTGTGATTTTTCCACAATCCATTCAACATCTTAGAGATAAGAGTTAAGGATAAAAATGTCATTTGCAAAATTTTCTGAAGAGTAAACTTTACTACATCCATCAATGACTCTTCATGACAGAAACTTGCTCTTTTCAATTAAAAAAGCCACATATAGCTTTAAAAGAGAGAGCTGTACTACCATAATATCAAGCTCTAAAAAGTGGCCTAGCTCTAGCAGCTCCTGAATTGTGGCCTCATTCTGGACATGCATTGCTTTGACCTCTGGCCCACTTGGGTCTTATTTTGTCCTCCTGTCAAGATCATCTTGATCTTAACATACTTCAGGTGTCTAAGCAACTTCTCACCTTGTGCTAAAGTGGGAGAACTGCACTCTGGTGCCCAACTCTCCCCCATTCAACCTTCACACCTCAAGGCAAAGAAAATCCTAAAGAGGTTAAATTAAGTCATAAAAGAGCAGCAGACAGAAGCTATAGCAGTATGGAGTGAGGGAGAGTGTTGGGGGGAGCAAGAGAGGGGTCAATGGGGATGAAAAGAAAGCACAAGAGGCAAAGTTGGTGTCTTAGAAAGCTGAGGGGACCCACACTACAGCAAAGTTTTTTAGCTATCTCCACTGACTGACAAAGTTATAGGGACAGGCACAATTTTTGTCTATTTATATAAATCTAAATGACATTTTTTAGAATGAACTTCAGCATTTCTACAAAGTGATCAATGTATCTGAAGGCACAAAAATGTTGCTGGCCTCAAGGAGGGGATACTCATGCATCCCCTCCACTTCCTGAACATTTCTAGACCCCCCGGGGCGGGGGGGGGTAGATGAAGAGATCCATTCCTTTCCATAAAGCAGCAACTTGATAGCAGGAGTGATATAATTGGCTAGATTATCATCAAATGAGGATACAGCACTCATCTGTTCCCTGAAGTGTCATGTTACAGGGTGGCAAAGGGAGAAGACAAGAAACTAATCCATTTACACAGAGGAAGGAAAATACAGGGGCACGTTTTCCTACACCTTGTATGTGAGCACTATTCTCACCACTGTTTTCCAACAATGCTGAATGGATGTGTAATCAGCTGGTCCAGAATAGCTGACGTTCTTGTTAAAGAGGTTTCTGGATAGTGTGAAACTATTTTCTTTAATCATGTTGAAACCAAGTGCTTCTAATGAGATTCCTGATTATCACATAGCCAAGCCAATACAACACAAAATGTGTACTTATATTGATATAAAGTAGTTTTATATACTACTAATGGCTTTAACTTTGAAGTTATATAGAAATATATTCATACAGACATATTAAGCCACAACAGATGCATGCTATATAGTGTTTACAAGCTACAGAGTACACAATCCAAAGCTTTTACATACATATTAACTCGTCCTTAAAGCAAATCCCAAGGAAAGTACTAGTATCAAGATTATGTCTCTATGTTGAGGAACAGGGTGAACAGGTGGCCAGAGGTTCCTCATTTGTAGTTTAAACCACCAAGTTCTAGGTCTGGGCTGTTAAGTGTTGCATATACTACCTGTCATAAAATAGAGTGTCCCCAATATTTTCAAAACAGTGTGCTCAATATAAAGAAAATTTATTATTTTCAAAGTCACAAAGTACTTAGTGGGACCTTTATTCAGTAAATGTATGTGGTACATCCAAATCATAACTGAATCCTGGTAAGAAAAAGGTGCCACTAATCTTACATCATAAATTCATGTTTATGTCAAGAAAATAACTTTCTTCTACTTACAAGACCAGTTGCCCCTGTAAAATAACTAAAACTTGGGGACTGGAGCGATGGCTCAGGAGGGAAGAGTGCTTAATACTCTTCCAGAGGACCTGAGTTCAGTTCCCAGCACACACACTGAGTGGCTCACAACCACCAAGAATCTGATGCCCTTTTCTGGCCTTTGTAAGCACTGCAGTCACATACACATACATAAACACAGCTACACCTAATCAAAAATAAAACTTTTAAATTAACTGAAACTTGCTTGCCATACAATTTTAAAGACCTATTGTTTTTCAACTTCACTACATTTTAACATTTTTACAGATAGGCTAAGTGGAACTTATCTCTCTCTCTCTCTCTCTCTCTTTCTCTCTCTCTCTCTCTCTCACACACACACACACACACACACACACAGATTTAGTATGTATAGGACTCAAAAAAAAAAAACACTATAATGTCTAGAAACAAAGAGACTTTCTTTTATGCACCCCTTCCTAACCAATCAATGGCACATGAATTATATTTAAAAGTTATAAAAGAAATTCAAATTTTCAGATAAGTGGGCATAAGAGCAAGCTGCCAGTTATTAAAAGAAATGTTAGAAGCTTGGGCAACTGATCACACAGCTGTCTCATAGTTAGAAGGGGTTCTGGCACTTATAAATGGCTTTTTTTTTATTGGCTCCAAATTTTCCCCATCTATATCGTCTAACCACTCATTCCCTGTCTGTACTTAAAAATCAAGGTCTGCCGGTGCGGTGGCACATGCCTTTAATCCCAGAACCCGGAGGCAGAGGCAGGTGGATCTCTGTGAGTTCAAGGCCATCCTGGTCTACATAGTAAGTTCCAGGACAGCTGGGGCTACAGGGAGACCCTGTCTCAAAAAGACCCCCCCCAAAAAAAAATCAAGGTCAAGTCCAATCCTTCTCCATAGCTGACACCTCTCTAAATTACCTGAAAATTCCCATCACTATCCACTTTGCTGACAAAGTGTTTTTTATTCCAAGCTAATCACCTCCTTCCTTCTATATTTCACCCTTACAACTGCTTAGCCATCTTTCCAGCCCCATACGGTGCTTTTTTCAATTATATTTTGTGATAGTATGTGATAGAAAACTACATGACCATAAGAACATTTGATGTGCATGTGCTTTGTCCAAATCACTTAAAAAAAAAAAAAAAAAATGCTGAAAGGGGTAGAGAAGAGAAAACCATACACAATTTAAGAAGCATCTTTGGGGGTTAGAGAGACACCTTAGAGTTAAGAGCACTTGCTGCTCTTTCAGGAGACCAGAATTCAGTTCCCAGCACCCATGTCAGGTTTCTCACAACCACCTGTAACTCCAGTCGCAGGGGATCTGACACCCTTTTCTGGCATTTACAGGCAACTGCACACACGTGCACAAACTAGCACACAGATACACAAACATACACATAATTAAAAATAAAATAAACCGGGCTGGAGAGATGGCTCAGCGGTTAAGAACACTGGTTGTTCTTGCAGAGGACCCAGGTTCGAATCCCAGCACCCATGTGGCAGCTAACAAGTGTCCAGAACTCCAGTTCCAGGAGATCCGACAGCCTCTTCTGTCCTCCGCGGGCACTGCACAACACAGGTGCACTTACCTACATGTCGGAAATACATGCATACACATAAAATAAAAATAAAATATTTTAAAAAATAAATAAAAGTAAAAATAAAATAAACCTTACTTTTAAAAAGAGGATAGCCAGGGGCTGGAGAGATGGCTCAGTGATTAAGAGCACTGACTGCTCTTGCAGTGGACCCGGGTTCAATTCCCAGCACCCACATGGTGGCTATGAACCATTCTTAACTCTAGTTCCAGGGGAATCTGAAGCCTTCTTCTGACTTCCATGGCACTGCACGACATGGGTGCATTCACTTACATGCAGGCAATACACTTGTACACATAAAATAATAAATAAAATATTTTTTAAAAAAGAGGATCGCCAGGTGTGGAGAGCACACCATTAATCCCAGCACTCAGGAGGCAGAGGCAGACGGATCTCTGTGAGTTCAAGGCCAGCCTGGTCTACACAGGGAGTTCCAGTCAGGCTGGAGCTACAGGGAGACCTTATCTCAAAAAAAAAAAAAAAAAAAGACCAAAATATAAAATAAAATATAGAAGATAATCTCCAAATTTCAGTTCAATATAGTTTAAATCTCCTCTTGCAGCTGTTTACCATACGTCATGAGAATGAAAGGAAGGAGCCACTCATAATTTGAGGGAGTGCTGTGGGCACATCCAAACAGCTAGGCACATTTGAAACAGAAGTTTGTCTTAAAGAACACTTCACTGTACATCCAACCAAGAAATACTCCAGAAGCCAGAAGGAGAGTATTTCCTCTTGGGAAATCATCCTGGAGACTTATTAGCACACATCTGCACCCAGCCCTCCCTAGCCAGTGACACTTTCTAAGGACACTAGTAATCAGGCCATTCTTCATGGTGCTGCTCACTGACAACACCAAAACAAACTCACCTCTATCAAAGTACAGTCAGAAAATCCTTGAAAACTACCCATTCACTGTCAGCAAACAGAAAAATGCTACTTGATCACAATTCTTTCCATGTGAGGAAAAAACTCTTAATTTGCAAAGCAATTAAAAAAAAAACTTGACAATGTACTTCCTGAAATGCCCACCTGTGTGTACTACATAGTTCTGTCTACTGAAAGTATGACCAATGAGATCTTCAATTAAGAATATTTTTTTGATGGAATTGGCAAAATGGCTCAGCAGGTAAAGGCACTTACCACCAAGTCTGACAACCTGAGTTCAATCCTTTGAACCCACATGGTGGAGAGAACTGACTTGTGAAAGTTGTCTTCTGACCTCCAAACATAGATGCATCTCTCTCACTTCCCCATCCACCCCACAACACACGTAAAATGTAAAACAATT